TTTTTAAATTTTTAAAATTTTTCCCCCATATTCGGTAGGGACTTAAAGTTTAAGATATCAATACTTGATAGAAAATACCTATTCCATGTTATGTCTAAGATGTTTGATATTCAGACAGATATTGAGGTTAAGCTCAACTGCCTATGCTGTAGGGTAATAACAATAAGCTTCTCTTCTGGAAGGTTAACAACCTAGGTTTGCAGACCAAAAATTGGAGGAAAAAAAGGGCTGCAAGGACAGCCAACATTTTGGCCCTCGCCTTTCGAGGTCAGTGACGACTCAGGACATAAGAGAAACTGTGCTATAACATCATGTAACTCAGTTGTATCCCAAATTTTCTGATCAAGGAGATTATAGGGCCACAGAAGAAAGTGATTACTGATGAAGAGTGTGCCTAGGGAGAGTCACATGGAGAGAAAATACTCTGTCAGGCTTCACAGAGTGCAAATTGGTGAAGCAATGGCCGTGACTCATCCACGTGGCTGACACTGACAAAGGATCTACAGACTGCAGTACTGGGTTTCAGGGTAAATCCTGGGGGATTTGACTGACTTTTTCAGATGCAAAAGTTACATTTCTTATTATATAGGTCTTGCTTTATCTTGGTCTTAACCATCCAGCAGAAAAGTAAAAATACGAACTATAAAAAGTAAAGCCATATTCATATGCTAAGCTGCAAAAGCCTCAAGTCAACAAGTTCTGACATTGCCAGTCCTATGGAAAACCCACTATTATTATAGACTGCTGGACTATATTGGATTGTTTTTGCTGAATTCATGCACCTACAATATTTAAATGACAATGGTATACCCTTCTCTGACAAAACTAAACAAAAAAGGAGATACAAGTGAAGAACCATTTTGTATCTGTGTATTCAAAATATTTAGGATATATATACAGCTACTTTCTTTTAATTCAATGAATAGAAAGATTTGTGCTAACAGTGTTTATGGAGAGTATATCATGTCTGCATCTTCTACTATGAATAATCACTAGGAGGACAACAATATGCGATGTATTAATTACTGAAATTGTCCCACTAATCGGTTTTGAAACTGTCTCGTTATTTGTTTCTCAATAAAACTATTAAAAAAGAATTCAAAATACTAGCAATAATACTACTCACTATGCACAATATATAAGCATCAACCCTTGAATTATACTAAAGAAAAGATAAACACAAAGAAAATGAGAAGACACTTAAAATAAGATGCAACCTCAAAATTGCAGCTCACCAAAAGCAGTCCTAGGGGGCAATGAGGTGGTACAATTCCAAAGTCACTTATGTAAACTCTCTGAAGTGACAAAAGAAGCAACAAAACAGATGAACAAAGCTATAGAAAAAAATCAGAAATAGTTTCATAGATAACTACAGAGATGATGACCATAATGCAAGATATGCTTAGTGACTCTAGAGGAGTTGCAGATAAAAAAAATAAAAGAGGGGCTAGGGGACATGGCTCAGTAGAATAAGCCCTTCCTTGGCAAGCACAAGGGTCTGAGTTCAATCCCCAGTTCTGAAAAAAAAAATAGAAGAGCTGAGGAAAATGATATGTACAATGTACAACACAGGAAAGAAACAGAATCCATGAAACAGATCCAGATATCATGGAGATTTAAATTCCATTTAAAGTATATGCAGCAAAATGTGCCAGTGCAAGGTCAGAGTATCATACCTAGAAGGCAGAATTGTGGTTATCGATTATGAAAAGAAAGATATCTTAAAATAGCAGGGGTCCATAAAAAATCAGTCAAACAGCTGCTAGATGATGCAAAAGAAAAAAATAAGACATGACTGAATGGAGTCAATGAAAAAGCAAGAGAGTGTAAACAACATAAAAACACTGCAGAAATAATGGCAGAAAACTTTCTAAGCAATCAAAAACATGACATACACTTAAGCGAGGTATATAGAACTTTAATTAGCTATGAAAAAATAACCTACAGCAAGGCATATAATAGTCAACATTCCAGAGGGAAAAAAAATCACCCATAGAGTCAGAATTACATGTGGGTTCTCGGCACAAACTCTTGAATCAAGGAGAGCTTGGATAGCCTTTTTAATAAATAGTACCATAAAAACTGGCTTTCTAAATGCTGAAAATTAAAACCAGTGATACATTTCATTATAGACTAAACTAAAATAAAAATCGATCAAGTATCTAAATATTAAAACAGAAACACTAAATCTGCTAAAACATAAAATAGGTGGAACTCTTGAAGACATTGGTACAGAGAAAGGCTTTATGAACAATATCATGATCACTTGGGAACTATCATAAAGAATTAACAACTATGAGCTCATCTTATTAAAAATGAGAATGAACAACAACAGAATGAAAAAACAACAGAATGAATTAACAACCCACAGTGTGGGAATTTTTTTTTCCACCTGGTCCTAAAAGACTCATATTTAGAATATATAAAGAACTCACAAATATTAGACTCCCCCCAACCTAAAGACCCAATCCAAAAATGTGTATCTGAAATAAACAGACACATCTCAGATTAAGAAGTAGAAATGGCAAATAAGTACATGAAAAAATGTTGAACATCACTGGTCATTCAAGAGATACAAATGAAAACAACGCTGAGCTTCCCTTTCTCTTCAGGAACAGTGACTATTATCAAGAAATCAACCGATAACAAATACTGTGAGGCTATGAAGAAATAAAAACCCCTATTGGTGGGAGTGTAAGCTGGTGCAACCACTGTGGAAATCAGGGTGGAGATTCCTCAAAAAGCTAAACTAAAGGTTTCATTTGAGCCAGGTATTCCTCTTCTTGGTATATTCCTGAGAATTAAAAGCATCATGCCACAGCAATATATGCACACCCATCTTTATTTTTTTTAATGAGGAGAATATATTTATTGAGAGAAAGAAAGCTCCTGTCCCGAGAGAGAGATGGGGGGGGGTCCGAGCGGGTCGTTCCCCCCCCCAACACACCCATCTTTATAATGGCACAGTTTTTAATAGCTAAATCTTGGCAATAACCCAAATGTCAATCAACCAATAAATAAATAAAGAAGATATCTGCTTTTTATACAATGGATTACTATCCTTCCATAATGAAGGATAAACTTATCACATTTCTAAGTAAATGGATGCAGTTTGAGGCTGTTATGGTTTGTGTCTAGTTGTCCCCCCAAAGCCTCATGCAGTCATGAGGCAGCTTCTGGAGTTTATGACTGCTTCTTGATCCAATGCTGGGACTGAAGGTGTAATTGCTACACTCTAGCCCTGGGGTGGGTAATTTGCATTACAACGTAATGAGGGGAGAGAGGCTGGCTAGCTGCCATAGCTGCTGCCAAGCTTTTGCTCTCTGCTCTTTGCTGCCACCATAAAATGTTGCCCTTTTCTAATGTACCGCTCTGCCTTGGAGCCAGCTGAGTATGGACAGAAACCTCCACAAACTGTGAGCTAAATAAACCTTTCCTTTCCTAATTTTGAGTGTTGGATATTTGTCTCAGCAATGAGAGAAGAATAACTAAGACAGAGGCTATACTGTTAAGTGAAATAAATTGGATGTACATGTGTAAATATTATACGGTTTTTCTTCTCTGAGAAACCAAACGTTTATTTTTTCATTTTTTTTTTTTTATATTTTAGGGAAGGGTCTACAGGGTGTTCAGGGTCTCACTACTAGATCTGACTCATACTGATCTACCGGTTACAGCCTTCCAAGAGCTGGGATTGCAGGTGTACACCACCATGCCCAGTCTCAATTGCCATCTCAGTGTGCCCTGGGGGCAGGGCTGGCATAGCAGGGCTGGCATGGCAGGCCAGGGGATCGAACCCCTGGCCCCTGTGCCTGCTTACAGGTGCTTTAATCCTCTGAGCTATGTGGCCGCCCACCAAAAGTTTAAATAAGGTTTAAAATGTATAATAGATATTGGGAAATAGGAAGAAAATGTTCAAACAAGAATGGAAACAATTGGGGCTGCTAAAGTCCTGATAGGAAAGAAGGGAGAAGGAAAAAAATAGAAGGAAAAAATGGAAATAAAGTTTTTGTAAGAGGGGAAAGTAGGGCTATAGGGAGTAGAGTGGAACTGGAAAAATAGAAGACGCAAGATATGCCATGTACAGGTATAAATTCCCTGTACATCAATGAATATTACCATTATGTATATCTAAAATGTATCAATAAAATAAAAAGAAATGATTCATACTGTGACATGGATGAACCTTAAAAACTTAAAGTGTAAGAAGCCAAACTCAAAAGTTTACATACTACATAACTTCATTTATGTGAAATACATAAAATATGCAAATCCTTATCAACAGAAAGTAGAATAGTAGTTGCCTAGTATAAGAGAAGAGGGCATGGTAAGTGGGCATAGCCTTCCTTTTGGGGATGATGAAAATATTCTATAATTACATATTGGTTGGGATTGTACACCAATTGGACACTTCCAATCTAATATAATTAGATATCACAGGTATACAAAAAGTCACCAAGTAGTATGCTTTAAAATGTTGTATTTTGGATATATCCAAAATCATATCTCAGAAAAAGGATAAGGAAGTATTATTAAGTATAGGTGCTGTGCACCTCAGGAGACTTCCTAGTAGGTTTTTAGAAAGCAAAAGATAACTTTCACGTAACACGGAACATTTTCCTAAGGAAATATGTATCTGCTTTATTCCTTTCATTCCTTCATTTGTTCACTTGATAAACCTTCACTGAACACCTATTATGTACAAGAATGAGTACAGGGGCCAGGGAGATAGCTTGGTGGTCTAAGCACCTGCCTGGCAAGTGCAAGGACACAGGATAGATGCCTGATACCACATACGGTGCTGGCCCTGCCCCGGGGCATGCTGAGCTGGCCACCGAGACCAGGTGTGGTTGCACACATCTGTAATCTCAGTGCTGGGGAGGCTGAGACAGGAAGATCACTATGAGTCTGAGCTGCATAGCGAGACCCTGTACCAAATAAATAAATAAAAGATTTTTTAAAAATTAAAAAGAATGAGGATAACTTCTACTTCCACTTGCCTTTTGATGCTTGAATGCGTCAATAAGTAAAGCAATATCAGTAAAATTGAAGGGAAAATGCAGTCGTGGGCCATCATAGGAATCTGGGACCTCTATCAACCCCAAATACTCCTGTCTATCCTTGGCGTTTTCAAGAAGTTGATTTGATAATTCTGGAAAAGGAAAGACAGAAAAGGTTATGAAGAATAGAAATCAATCTTCTAATCTTTAAATTTAATAAAAATATCTGAGCCTATGTAAGGCATTGTGCTAAATGTTATGCATATCGAGATAATGCACATATAACAATGATATGTTTTTTTTCTTTGTAACAAAGTTGATAAAGTGGCAAACCACAGTCAGAAAAACCAAAAGGTCTCTCTCCTCTGTGTCTGTGTCTGTGTCT